AGATCTCCTACCATATATTTCAATAGATGTAGCACTGGACTGAATATTTTTGTTTCGAACACAATTTTCCACCACTTCACCCTCTCCTCACTATATCAACCTTGGAGAATTTGGCTTCTCTGCTTAAAAGGAAATTTTGGGCTCCTCCACCCCAATATTCTGGCCTGCCTGCCTCAGCCTGCCTGCCTGCCTGCAATTTTGCCCTGATACCACACAGCTAGGAAGAAGGCTAAGCCAAAAAACCAGGTAGCTTGCAGCCTCTGAACTGACAAGCCCTACATTTCATCCGCAAGGTTGCGACACTATGAGGGTGGCCTGCTTTGCAGTAGACCACCTTGCTGTTTAGGTAATTCTTCCCTCTCCTGATTTTCTTGTCCCAGGAGGGAAAGGCCGATGATAAACAACCATCATATTTTAAAGAGAGAATGAAGCAGATTTAGAAAGTCACCCCCCCTCCCCCTAAACCACCATTTCTGACATCGATCCTTCAACAGAATTCTGCACCTGGGAAGCAAATGCTTTCTTCTCTACAAAAAAAAAAAAATTCTTCCAAGTCTGGGCTGTAAAAATACAACTCCTTATGTCCAGATTTCCCCCATGTTTTTTCTGCTAGGAATCTCTCCTGCTAGGATAGTTACTTCTCCTTTTATGGAGCAAGATTCTCTTACTGTAACGTCACAATAAAATTTGACTTAATACCCCTGGTTGGTGCTTCTTGTCAGGAATACCTCAAAAGGCTGGCATCAATCTTGCAAATCTGCAAGTGTGCCTCTCCCCTTTACAATCGAAGAATTGGGGAAGGTCCCTTCTGAGAGGTTTGACAGATCCTCATCCCTTCAGCCGACTAAACTGCCCTTTTCTGACCTTTATTCAGTCTGCAGCGGAGGTGGTTTTCAACCGGTTTAGACCAGTTCTCCTGAACCGGTAGCAGGTGTGCCCACCCATGGGCCCACCCGCCCTGGCTCTATGCCATCCTATTTAGGCATGTTTTTGAGGCCAGGTGCATGCGTGGAAGGTGTTGTGGTCCGCCAGCAGCCCGTGGAGCTAGCAGTGGAGTCGGACAGTGAGGAGGCTGGGGAGGACAATGGGACAGTCCTGGAGTCAGAGGAAGGCCTGGATGAGGGCTCTGCATCGGAGGCAGAGATGGGGCCAGGGACATCTGGGAGTGATGCATGGACTCCAGAGCCTCCAGAGTCGGACAGCAGAGGAACAGGAGGAGCCTGTTCCTAGTGCACGCATGTGCAGAGCTGCCAGAAGGCAAAAGCAGCTAAAGCAAAAAGGACAACTCGGGAGTAAGGCCAGGAGATGATTGGTCCCTCCCATAAGGCTTAAAAGAGCAGCAAAGGCTCTTGGGCTCTTTGTAGGAAAGCAATGTTGCTATATCTGTTTCCAGTCGGCATCTCTTGTTTCTGAACTTTGTGGGGCTTTGCCAAGAAAGGCCTTTGGCAGGATGCCAAAGAAGATAAAGGTTTGTGATAAGCCCAAAGGACTTTTTCTGAAGGACTTGTTTTGGAATTAATTTGGACTAAGCTGGGAATGAAGTAATTCTCAGCTTTATAATAAAATAGGTTTGTTTGAGACTAATTGTGTCTTGTAATGACTAAGTGAGCCTAGGTCACAACAGAAGGCACGCGCGCGAGCAAAGCACATGCGTGAAAGGCCAGGCACATATGTGGAAGGCAGGTGTGCGCGTGAACTGGGTGTGCATGCACAAAGTATGTGTGTGCGCGTGCAGCAAACTGGTAGTAACGTAATGTGAAATCCACCACTTGTCTACAGCTCCTGCTACTGCCACGTGTCTCTCAAGGACATGCTCACGGACCTTTACAACAAATGATTAGAGAAGTGTCTTTGCACCACAACAATATAGATGAATCCTACGCAGGTAGTCCACAGCTTACAATCAGTCGCTTAAATGGGTTCTACACCATTAAAATCCCTTTGCAGCGTCCCACAATCACACAGCTACATTTTATGATGGTTTTGCCAAAAATTGGCATTGCTTCCAGGTTTTGGCAAAACCAGCCCATAGCAAATTGTTGGTTGGTTTAATAACCATGATGGTCATTTAATGGCCACAGAAGTCACTTTACGACTGCAGCATTTGCTTAACAAATGCCGCAAAACAGATCACAAAAATCAGTTCGGTTCTATTGAGTGACATGATTTACAATCATCACAATTTATGACCGTGATGAGTAGATTCCATTTTAGTTGTAAGTTGAGGACTACCTGTATCAGTTGAAAAAAGAAAATGTGACAAACCTCTGAGAAGAACTTATGGGATCCTTAGGACCACATTTTAACGAACACTGGAGTAGATAATCTGCAAATTCCCCTCCCAGAAGTAACATATTTCTGAATAATAGTTGGGATTCTTAGGATAAAGATCAGGGGTAGTCTGATAAAATCCTTGTCAATCTTCTGCAAATCAGAAAGAGATCTAATTCAGATTCTACCTGACCCTGTCTTTTCAATGGAATGGATCACAGATTGCATTGCTTATTATACAAAATACAACCCGGGACCCAAATGAGCCTGACAGAAGTGATGTTTTGAGTATTTATGTGTTTTAAGACTCTCCTCCTCTTTGTCCTTCCTTTCCTGGCAGCTTCGGGATAGCAATTATAATCCGAGAGATTCTAGCAGCCCATTTCCACCGAAGCAACAGGTGGAAAATGAGTCACAGGCAGGCCAAATTCTTCTAATACCAGCTAGTTATTTGTTCTTTTCCTGTCTGCAAGGCCTTTAGTTTCTGCTTGTGGGATTCCTGGAGGCCACGACAAGAAAAAATATATATATGTTAGGTCAGGGCCTGTGGCTTTCCATACATTCTTCAACACCAGAGGTAAAAACAAGACTCCAGAGGCAGGCAGACAGACAGACAGATTGTAACTCTCCAATTCTGTCCCCTATGTGCCTTTTGGGATCAGTTTAATAAAAAGAACTGTTTCCTACCCAACCCAGCAAACAGCAATAACAAATTCTGAAACCAGTCTTGACAGCTGCCGTCTTAGCAATGTGTATCCACCAGGCTGAATAATTACAGTGTAAACAGAAAGATCTGCAGCGCCTACATCCAGATAACAAAACAGCCTTTTATTATTATTATTATTTTATTTGCTGTAAGTTAGATTATAATGACGCTTTTCATCCACTCAGTAACCGCTTTGGCAGATTACAATAAAGACAATAAAAAAAAAACAATAAATTAACAAGCCAAACTGGAAAGTCCAACATCCAGAAGTATAATGCCAGTAAATGAAGGAGCAGAGAGATTGTTGCCAAAAAAGATATTAATGCAGTCACCAGGTGGCCTAGGTTAGGGAAAGCATTGTTATGAGGGAGGCCCCATAGGGAAGGCCTTCTGCAGGGCATACGACAATAATAATGGCATTGTGGTACATACTTCCAACACTCCATTCAGGTTCAAAAGGGTTAGGGCAGCGGTGGGTTTCACATTATGTTACAACCGGTTCGCCGCACACATGCACGCTCTCTTCATGTGTGCGCACGCCCAATTCGCACGCGCGCCTGCCTTCCACACGTGCACCCGGCCTAAAAAACGTGTCTAATAGGATGCCGGGGTGGAGGGGGGGGCAGGTGGACGGGCCCACCCACAATTTCCGCTATCGGTTTCGGGGAACTGGTCCGAACCAGCTGAATACCACCTCTGGGTTAGGGCCTCTGTTCTTCGTGTGGAAGGCACCCAGTTTATTACTTAAATTTATTTATTTTTCTTTCATTTTAGATTTCCCGCCTCCCCCTCAGTGGTGGGTTGCACCCGGTTCGGACCAGTTCTATAGAACCGGTAATAAAACCGGCAGGAGGCTCCGCCCACCGACTCCGACGTCACCAGAACGCTTCTGCGCATGTGCAGAAGAGCGCGCGTGCGGCCCCATTGTGAACTGGTAGTAAAGGTAAGTAGAAAACCCCCCTGCCCCCACCCCCCCTATATTTTTATCAATAACTCAAGGCAGTGAACATATCTAATATTCCTCCCTCGTCCCATTTTCTCCACAATAATAACCCTGAGATGGTTTGGGCTGAGAAAGAGGGCCTGGTCCAAAGTTATCCAGCTGGCTTTCATGCCTAAGGCAGAACCAGAACTCAGTCTCCCTCTTTTAGCCTGGTGGAGGGATTTTTTAACAGAAATTCCTCCTTTTCCAAAAAGCATGAAATGGTTGTCTAATCTCTTCTTAAAAACTTCCAGTGTTGAAGCAAACACAACTTCTGCAGGCAAGTTGTTCCACTGATTAATTGTTGTAACTGTCGGGAAAATTTCTCCTTAGTTCTAGTACTGTTTTCAGTACTCCTTAGTTTTCAGTACTGTTGTAATTTTGAACTGTCGCTAAACGAAAGGTTGTAAGTCGAGAACTACCTATATATTCTATGGCACCATTTAAAAATGGGCATTTGTCTGAAATGGTATAGCGTTTTCTGCCTGAGCAGGGGATTGGACTAGAAGACCTCCAAGGTCCCTTCCAACTCTGTTATTCTATTCTATTCTATTCTATTCTATTCTATTCTATTCTATTCTATTCCATTAAAATGTGTTATGATGAGATGGCCACCCAGAGAGGAAGCTCCTCCCTGCTCATGTGCAGAGTACACTTCCTTCATCAGCAACAAAACCCTACCTAACCCTCCATCAAAATCTCAGTCAAAAAAAAAAGGAGCTTTTAAGATAGTTAAAGCCTTGTCATTAGATGATGACATAACGTTTAATAATGATCTCTCTCTGATCATCATCTAAAAATTTTAAATTTTTAATATTTTTTAGTATTTTATATATTCAAATTTTAAAATTGGTTTTAAATTGATTGGGATTTTAATTTGTCTGGGCCAAAACTATTCAATTTGATTTTAATTCTGCTTTTAAATTTTGTATGTATGGATTTTATTGTTGGCTGTTCACCGCCCTGAGTCCTTCGGGAGTAGGGCGGTATATAAATCAAATAAATAAAATTCTGTATTCTGGGGTTAAAAACCAGAGTTACCATGTTTTCTCCTCTGTTTTCCATTTCCGGCAGCTGTGTCTTGCATCCGGTCGTACAGCCAAACTGCTCTTCTGCACCAATGTAAGCTTCCATGCAGGCTGCAATATCCAAGAGGGAGGGGGGGAGAGGAAGAATTCAGCACAAATGGACAAAATTCAGGGTTCGGAAACTGATTCCGTTTCTAGCTGAAATCTCAAATCTAGTTCAAAAATGCCAACCAAATGCAAAATTGCAGCTCCAGGATTCATTTCTTCAGCCTAGTGCCCTACAAAGTGTTGGATTTCAATTCTTGGAAAACCCCTATTTTTTCATCCTGCAATCTATGTTACATGTTTATGGAATTATTTGTGAGATTTATATCCCGCTTTTACTCCAGGAGCTTAAGATGGTTTGCATGGAGATCTTTCTTCATTTTCTTCCCGAAGAGCGCTGTAAAATAGAGGTAGTCCTTATGACCATAATTGAGCTGGGAAATTACAGGTAGTCCTCGAGATATGACCACAATTGAGCCCAAAATTTATGTTGCTAAGTGAAACATCAGTTAAGTAAGTTTCTCCCATTTTACGATTTTTCTCGCCACATTTGTTAAGTGAATCACTGCAATTGGTAAATTGGTAACACGGTTGTTAAGTGAATCTGGTTTTCCAATGATCTTTGCTTGTCAGAACGTAACAAAAGGGGATCATATAACTCCGGGACATTGCAACAGTCATAAATGTGAGTCAGTTGCCAAGCACCCGAATGTAAATCACATGCCCATGGGGATGCTGTAATGGTCATAAGTGTGAAAAATGGTCATAAGTCACTTTTTTCAGTGCTGTTGTAACTTCGAACGGTTACTAAGTGAACTGTTGTAAGTCGAGGACTACCTGTAAGGTCGAAAGTAGTGATAAAGCAGATCACCACATGATGTTATCACTTTTTTCACAACAGCAGTTAAGCAAACATGGTGGTTGGTAAGCAAACCCATTGTTTGCTATGGGGCTATTTTTTGCCAAAAACCAGAAGTAAATGCCTGTTTTCAACAAAACCATTTGAAATCACAGTCACATAATCATGGGGTGCTGGAAACAGCCATAAATATGAGCTGGTTGCCAAGTGACCAAAATTCAGTCACATGATCATGCAGAGGGGGGGAACAATCTCAGTCCATCGGTAGCTTTTTTCAGGAGGGTGGTTTGTCATAACTTAGCATGGTCACTAAGTAACCAGTCATAAGTTGAGGACTACCTGTAGATCAGGCTCAATCCTCCCAGGGACCTGATGTGATTGAGTGTGGCCTTAAACCTGGTTCTCCCTTCTCCTAGACCAGGACTGTCAAACTCGCAGCCCGCAGGCCGGATCTGCCACACACTGGCCACACCAACGCCCGGTTTAGCGAACGGGGAAAAAGTCGCGATACGTGATGCCGCTGTGACGCCGTGAGTTTGACACCCCTGTCCTAGACAGAGCTAGGTTCTACTGGGTTCTACTTACTGGGTTCTACTTACCTTTACTACCAGTTCGCATCGCGCCCACGCGCACTCTTCTGCGCATGCACAGATCACCTATGATGACGTCCAGGTGAGTGGGCGGAGCCTCCCGCCAGTTCTACTACCGGTTCTTGCGAACCAGTCTGAACTGGGGGGCAACCCACCACTGAGACAGAGGTCTCCAAACTTGGCCACTTTAAGATTTTGTGGACTTCAACTCCCAGAATTCCTCAGCCAGGAAGGAATCCATAAAGTTGCCAGGTTTGGAGACCTCTGTCCTAGATCAGCATCTTCGTCCCTCCAGCAAACAGTGCGACTCTCTACTACAAGATGAGGTATGTTTCCTTAGCTTTGATGACATTAAAAGGGAATTCAGCAAGTTTATGGGATTTATGTTTATATCAAATCATTGTTTGGGATGGTGAATGGAGCCTCCATGTTTAGAGGCAGCAGGCTATCTTTGGAAAGAAGGCTATAGAGACAAGTAAAAACTTGGCTAGATACCCAGAACTGGGGCTCAGAATATGTGAAGGGCTCCCTTAAAGGTAGTCCTCAACTTACAAACTATTCGTTTAGTGACTGAAGTCACAACAGCACTGAACAAACGTGAGTTATGACAGTTTTCACATGACCGTGGCAACATACTCATGGTCATGAGTACATTAAAGAACATAAATTGAGGCCAAAGCATGTTTTCAGGAGACTCAGAGTCTATGAGTTCTAGTACTGCCTGAGGCACAAAGCCAACTGGGTGATTTTGGGCCAGTCACTCTGTCTCAACCCTAGGAAACAGGCAATGGCAAACCACTTCTGAAATTCGGATTTGACAACTAGAATTATTTAGGATGGTTGCAACATCCCAAGGTCACCTTTTGCGACTTTCTGACAAGCAAAGTCCATGGGGAAGCCATTTAAAAATCATGTTTAACAACTGCGCCAAGAAAGGTTGTAAAATGCGGCAGAACTCATTTAATAAGTGTCTCGCTTAGGAACAGAAATTTTGGGCTCAACTGTGGTTGTAAGTCAAGGACTACCTGTACTTGGCTTTACTATGACTTGACTGCTGTTTATATTTATACTTTTTTCTTTTATGGATGTCGTTATTGTTTTAATGTCTTTTAAATTGTTTTAATTTTTTTTTTAAAACGTTAGAACTGTAAAAAACAGCCAGAGTCACTTGGTTGAGTTGGGCCAGCTATAGAAATTGAATAAGTAAATTTATTAAATTACAAAAATTCCCTTTGAGTCCTGCTTCCCAGAGACACAGGTTTGGCCCAGATAAGCTGACAGACCTTCCATTCCGATTGTGAGAGATGATTTCCCAGCTTCTTTAATAAATACATCAGCACCTCGTGACAGCTAGATGGTGCTCAGTTTTCAAAGGCAGCTACATCCGAATAACCAGCTGCTGGAAATCCAGAAGAATGTGGCTGCTGGAAACAGGTTGCTGGTCCAACGGGCAGATGGTCCCTCTTGGGAACGTAGGAACTGGAGGTCCAACCAGCCTCAATTCCAGATGGGATGGGATTTGTTTCATTTTAAAGACCGGGCACCCCGCTTTTCAAACAGGCCCCCGAAAAGTTATCAAAACCATTCATGTATGCAAAGCCAGCCTTTTAAAATCTTTGCTTTGACAGATTTAGAGAAGGGGAGGAAGGCTGCCCAGTTCCCACCTGCATTTTCCATTATCCTAGAGACTGTTGGTGGAAATTTGTTTCAGAAGCTCGGAAAGAAGGAAGAAGGAAGGGAGATGATGACCTTCTTAAGTGGAGGGAAGGTTCTGGATAATGTAAAAGAGGGGAGGGGGAAGAGGGGTGTATGGATTAAAGAGGGGGACGGGGGGGGGGGAGGAAGGAAAACCAGGAGGAGGAGGGACACAGAGTTACTGCCTTACCCGATTCGCACTCGGCTCTGGTTGCATTCAGCTCAGCAGTGGCATCCACAAAATGACAGATGGAAAACAGCCGGCAGCCCCGGTAACAGGCATTGAGAATAGCATCCTGAGGGAGGCAAAGGAAATTGCAGGATGGGAGGGAGAATTGAGATGCTACAACTGCAATTGTGTCTCTCCAAATTTAACACAAAACAGGGTCCACAAAACACAGCCCTTTTTTTTTTTTACACCAATGCACAGAATTATAAGAACCAGGAAGTGCTCTAAGGGTCATTTAGACCAGGGGTCTCCAACCTTCTGGGAATTCTGGGAGTTGAAGTCTTCCAGGCTTAAAGTTGTCAAGGTTGGAGACCCCTGATTTAGACTAACCTCTCTGCTCGGGGCAGAATCTGCATAGCAGGTTGTGTCTGTATTGTTCCTAATAGGAGGAGGTGGTCCAACAATGAAGGAGACCCTGTCCCTTTCAGAGGCAGCTCTTCCATTACCAAAGCTTATGGCTAAGTAAGACCTTCCTCCTAAGGTTTTCCCTGAAATCCCCATCTTCAGTTCTGATCCTTGCTTCTGCAGCCCCCAAAATACAGCCCCCCCCTTTCATCTTCTCAACAGTCTTTTAAATTGGCATTTCTCAACCTAGACCATTTTAAGATGTGTGGACTTCCAATACCCACAATTCTCCAGCCAACATGCTGGCTTGAGAATTCTTGGAGTTGAAGTCCCCCATGCTTTAAAGTCAATCAGGCTGAGAAACTCTGCTTCAAATTTTTGAAGAAAGCTATAATATAGAACAGGGATGGCTAACCTTTTTGCCGTCGTGTGCCAAAAGTGGGGGGAGCGCGGGGGGTCACGCCCACACATGTCCACACCCATAATTCAGTGTGCCCCGCTCCCCGTGCATGACACCCCTGCGCTCCCCCCACTTTTGGCACAGTGGGCCCAGTACGCCTGTTTTTCGTCCTCCCCAGGATCCAGAGGCTTTCTAGTAGCCTGAGGAGGGCGAAAATGGCCTTTCCCCATCCCCCCAGAGGCCCTCCAGAGGCTGGAAATAGCCTGTTTCCCGACTTCTGGTGGGCCCGGAAGGCCCGAAGCTGAGCTAGGGCAACGCTTGCATGCCCACCAATATGGATTCACGTGCCACCTGTGGCACGTGTGCCGTAGGTTCACCATCACAGATATAGAATATGAAGTGAGGAACCTATAGCTCCCAAGCTATATTTGGTGCCTAAATTTTGGCATTCCCTTTCTGGAAATTAATGGTATGGTTCCCTACCATATTAAAAAATACTACTTATTTCTCATTCATATATCCTAGCTTACCTCCAGGCAATAGAGATAGGATTTCCCCTTCTCATTTTTCCCATCTGCCATCTTGTTAAGAGAGTTTAGTTTAAAGAAAGAAACTGGCGCAAAGACACTCCAGGAGCTTCCATGGCTGAGGATGGATTTGAACCTGGGGCTTAATTTAATAGTTATTTTGAAGCAGGAAGCATATTGAAAAGGTAATATATTAAAGTACATTTAGCAAACTTTAAAGAAATACAGGTAGTCCTCGACTTACAACCACAATTGAGCCCAACATTTCTGTTGCTAAGCAAGACAATTGTCAAGTGACTTTTGCCCCATTCTGCAATCTTTCTTGCCACAGTTGTTAAGTGAATCACTGCAGTTGTTAAGTTAGTAACATGGTTGTTAAGTGAATCCAGCTTCCCCATTGACTTTGTTTGTCAGGAGGTCGCAAAAGGGGATCATGTGACCCTGGGAAAGCAGCAACGGCCATAAATATGAGTCAGTTGCCAAGCACCCAAATTTTGATCACGTAAACATGGGAATGCTGCAATAGTCGTAAGTGTGAAAAACGGTGATACGTCACTTTTTTCAATGCCATTGTAACTTTGAATGGTCACTAAATGAATGGTTGTAATTCAAGGACTACACCTATACTATAATTTTAAAATAAAAGTAATATTGGCTTGAAGGACTTTGGTTTTCTAGCAAAGTTTATTGAGTTTTCACACTTACGACCATGGTCACGTGATCAAAATTTGGACATTCAGGAACTGGCATATTTTTACAAGTGTTGCACTCTCCTGGGGCCATTTAACCACCATCTGTAACTTCCCAGCCACATTCGCTTAACGACTGCATGATTCATTTAACAACTGCAGTGATCCACTTAACAATTGTAGCCAAAAAGGTTGTAAAATGGAGCAAAACTCTCTTAAAAACTGCGTTGCTTAGCAACAGAAATATTGGACTCAATTGTGTCTGTAAGTCAAAAAGCCAACACAGTTCTGGGCTGCATAAACAGAGGGATAGAATCAAGATCACGTGAAGTGTTAATACCACTTTATAATGCCACACTTGGAAATACTGCACCCAGTTTTGGTCACCATGATGTTAAAAAGATGTTGAGACTCTAGAAAGAGTGCAGAGAAGAGCAACAAAGATGATTAGGGGACTGGAGGTTAAAACATATGAAGAACGGTTGCAGGAACTGAGTATTTGTAGTTTAATGAAAAGAAGGACTAGGGATGACATGATAGCAGTCTTCCAATATCTCAGGGGCTGCCACAAAGAAGAGGGAGTCAAACTATTCTCCAAAGCACCTGAGGGTAGAACAAGAAGCAATGGGTGGAAACTAATCAAGGAGAGAAGCAACCTAGAACTAAGGAGAAATTTCCTTAGAACAATTAATCAGTGGAACAACTTGCCTCCAGAAGTTGTGAATGCTCCAACACTGGAAGTTTTTAAGAAGATGTTGGATAACCATTTGTCTGAAGTGGTGTACGGTTTCCTGCCTGGGCAGGGGGTTGGACTAGAAGACCTCCAAGGTCCCTTCCAACTCTGTTATTCTATTCTATTCTAATCCAGTTCATCTGATACGTCTGGTAACATTTTTTATTCCGATGGAGGAAGCAAGTTTTTAAAAAATTTCCAACCCCTTGGTGCAGTTCAGAAATGAAACATTATATAATGTATTTATATGGTTTATTCACCCATCTTATCAACATCTACATCCCTCTTTCATGTGTTTCATGTTCTCAAGCTTTTGAACAATAGGCTAATTAAGACAAAAACCCAAAACAACATCGTTAAAATTAATCAGAGGATATGATAATCCAAAAGAGGGAGGGAAAATACACCCTGCCAGCAGTCAGAACTCATTTATGCTTTCCAGAAGCAACCCTGATATCAGCCAGTTGAGATGGAAAAATCTTAATTGCCTTACCTTTTGTTACCCATTTGAAATCTGCAAAAAAACATGAAGATGATCCCTGGTGGAAACAGCCTATTGGACTAAAACGAGTGTGTCAAACTCTATTTCATTGAGGGTTCTGTTCGATCTGGGGGGGGGGGGGGGGGGGGCCAGCTCGACATCACTTGTATCGGGGGCACCTGTGGTGGCCCAGGCAGCGCTGGGGGGATCCATTGTCTCCAGTGGAGGAAGGTGAGACCAGGGAGAGCGCCAAACCCTTGTCCTCCAGAGCAGGGGTCTCCAACCTTGGGCCCTTTCAACTCCCAGAATTCCTCAGCCAGCTGCCTGGGGAATTCTGGGAGTTGAAGTCCACAAGTCTTAAAGGGCCCAAGGTTGGAGACCCCTGCTCCAGAGGAGCCTTGTCGTCTGTTGGTGGCCAAGTGCTAAGGTAGGACTTCCTTCCTTCCTTCCTTCCTTCCTTCCTTCCTTCCTTCCTTCCTTCCTTCCTTCCCTCCCTCCCTCCCTCCCTCCCTCCCTCTTCCTTCTCCTTTCTTCTTCCTTCCCCTCTTTCTTTCTTTTTCCTCTGGAAGAGGAAGAGCACTCTTCCCATCTTCCCTTCTTTTTCTTGGTCTTTCCTTTCCTGTCCCTTCTTGGATGCTCAAATGCAAAAGGGGAAACGTTTCTCCTTTAGTTTTTGTTTTTGCTTTTAGTTTGTTTTGCTAGCCCTCTGCCAGCGAAAAAGGAGTCCGGGGGAGGGGGGCACATGCAGTTCCCCGGGCCCCGTTTTCGGCCTGGACGGCCTCCTGAAGCAATATGCTCTGCAAGGGATTGCCCCTGAAGACTATTTGGAAGCTACAACTGGTGCAAAATATAACTGGTTATATACTAGAGGTAGTCCTTGATGTATGATCACAATTGGGAGTGGAAAGTTCCTTGGTTATCGTCACAGTCATTAAGCGAGGCATTACGTGACTTCACCTTAATATTACAACCTTTTTTTTGCCATGGTCATTAAGTAAATCACTGCGGTCATTAAGCAATTCCAGCTTCCTCCATGGACTTTGCTTGTTGGAAATCGGGTGGGAAGGTGGCAAGTGTCATAAAGGCGAGCCAATTGCCACACGGCCAAATTGCAATCCTCTTTACTACGAGGTCTGGTGTGACGGTCATAATTTCAAGGCTGCTACATGATTTTTTTTTCAACAAACTGTCATTAAATGAATGGTCGTAAATTGAGGGCTATCTGGAATACAAAACGGACAAACCAATATTGTCCTACAACACCAGCATTCAAGAGCTGCACTGGTTTCTGCTTTGTTTCAGGCGAAATTTAATGCACTGGTTATAACTTTTATAGTCGCACAACAAATCCTACATCGCTTCGGGCCCAGGTTGTTTATGAGACTGCTTACTTCACCCACAATCTTTCCATCCAAGTCAACCCGGCAGAGAGTTTGGTTAAAAGTCTCCAGATCTCATAAGGTACAATGGGGCAGGATTTTAACCATGATGTGTTTGTTTGTTTGTGTCCTGCCTTTATCACTTTTACAAATGAGGCACTGTGAACATATCCAACAGAACACCTTCCTCCTCCTCTTTTCCCCACAATAATCTTGTGAGGTGGGTTGGAGAGAGAGAGAAAGAGAGACAGAGAGAGAGAGAGAGAGGGAAGGAGGGAGGGAGAGAGAAGGAGGGAGGGAGGGAGAGAGAGAGAGAGAGAGAGAGAGAGAGAGAGAAGGAGGGAGGGAAGGGGAGAAAGAGAAAGAGAGAGAGAGGGAGGGAGGGAGAGAGAGGGAGGGAGGGAGAGAGAAAGAGAAGGAGGGAGAGAGCGAGAGAGAAAGAGGGAGGGAGGGGGAGAAAGAGAGGGAGGGACAGGGAGAGAGAGAGAAAGAGATACAGGGAGGGGGGAGAAA